GGTAGAGTAGACACTAAATGCATGTAAAAAAATCCAGTACAAGATCTAGGGCCAATTTCGTAGAGTTCCTTAAGCACAAAATTTGCTTAAGCACGAAAAATCCTTGCTTAATAAACAACCAGCTCACACACAATGTGACTGTCATACGAACCAAAAGACAGGTAAAAACCATTCCAAAACAATATCCATCACAAGAATTTCTGGCTGATAACCTGATTTGTCAAGCAAGATTTTTCCACGCTTAAACAAATTTTTCGCTTCAGCAGCGCTATGAAATTGGCCCCTGCACATCTTGAACAATATGTCCCCCTCCCCAAAAAACTGAAACCCAAACACTACAAACTGTACACCCAGGTTTATATTACACATACAATATGCCTTTGCAACATGAAGATAGTCTGTACACTGTGAAAAAGGAACCTGTGAAAAAAAAATGATCAAATGTCTCTAAAATGTCATTGCCATTACAGAAAGGGCGCTGCAATATTCTGCCATGTTATGAAAGAAATGTATTACTACTGTACATGTACATTTATGGCAATGTCCTGAAGGGACCCCCAAGTGTACATGTATGCATGCACAATGATCAATTCTGCATCATATGATCATGAAATTTATGAGTACATGTACATGTAACGGTATGACATGCAGTTTTGATTACTCTATTCATGAGCACCCTTACAATCGTCTTGGTGCCCATCATGCTAACTCACCTTTTCGGGTCATTTTTTGGTGAGTGGTTAGGAGAGGCCTACATGTACATGTACGCAACAGACATTCCGCTGCCTCAAGAGAAAAATTTTGGACGTTCTCATGTGTACACATGACATGCACACGGGTACATTGTACATGTACACTGTACGTACAGGTGAAGGTACATGTACTGACCAGTACAAGTTTCACATGTGCCTGCATGCATGCTGATGCATAGAACAGCACACAATGAGTTGGATACAAAATAATGTGTGGAACTACATGTACATGTATAAATGTACATGTACAAATGTACATGTACACATGTGTAACCGTTAGTGGGAGAGTGCTACATGTACATGTATCACTGTAGTTTTGTGCATGCAGTATACATGTAGTAAGCTTGTTCACGTACCCTGCGTGTATAGGAGTGCATGGTACTTATACAATTACTTTGTATTCATGTGCGTACAATGAATCATCTACGTGTACATGTACACAGTTAAGTACTGACTTAAATTAATCACAACCATTTTGACAAAGGACACTTGGAACTTCTTAGCCACTGATACCGAGGTCATGCTGGGCCAGGTGTAGCACAAGAAAAATGTACAGTATGGTACATGTACATGTACATGTATGTACAGCCTATTACAAACTTTAGTGCATGTACGTGTACATGTGTATGATTCATTTATACCCTAATATCAACATTAACTTCATTCATGCCCATAAAAAGAACATCTCAAGGAAAAACGGCCACAGCACAAGGCTTACAAGTTACAAGCCTTGTCACTCCAGAATGCTGAGAGAACTTTTTTCTCACAAAAAAAGCATTCATGAGGGACCAAAAACAACACACAGACAGGTGTTACGCTTAATGAAACGTA